GATAGTAAAATGTATGATTTGAGTGTTATTGTGAATTAATCCCTGTTGATTGGTGTTATCAAGTACCGTCTATGCATGTGAGTATTTATTTATGTTAAACCAAAGATTTAGTAGGGCGGGAGATACTCACCCTTACTAATATTTTCAAGTGATGGATGTCAAGAGAGAAAGGTGTCTACCCATCCTAGAATCATAGTCCAAGGGTATTAAAGGGAAGGCTGCTCTGTTGAGATTAGAAATGTTTGAGAAAATGTACTATTTTATTCAAATTGTAATTTGTGATAACTAAATTGTGTAAAGGATTTTAAAGGCCAGATATAGAATTTATGGTATTTGGGTCAATTTCGTTGAAATTATTTCCTTGTCATCTTTAGTAAAAATCCCAATTTTATATGTATTCGTAGTGAGCTACATGTTTTGTTAAAAATAAAGTTAAATTTTATCTAATCATCTCAAGTTTTCAAAATTTTACCCTTGGAATAACATGAAACCTTCATAAGAAGAAATTTGTAAATTTTGCTATTATGTTACTATGGAGTTTGAAAGTGAAACTAAGTAAATTATTTTCTATTCGCATAAAAGTTTGTTTATTTAAATAAAGAAAATGAAGGTGTTACAAGACTAAGTCCAATGTTGAATATCACTACCATTAACCATTTCTATAAGGATACTCCCCTCTTGTTCTCTTACTTTGAATGCTTCCATAACTAAAATGTGATATTATGCGATCAACACCGAACTAAATCTCATCATAAAATCTATGATGAGTTCAAATTTATCCTTATGCAATAGCTCCATTACCTTCTTCAAATTAACCTTTGGAAACTTCTATTATATTGGATTACTCTCACTTCTAGATAGTTTTATTCTCAAGAGATATCAGTGTTATGAACTTTCCAATTTTCCCTATATTTCCTCTAAGTCACTTACAACAAAGGTTCATATACGAATGATACGTAATCACCCAGAATTTAGGATTTATCCTTGTATCTAGTATTCTGTTGATTGATATTTCTTAATTTATTTTTACTCAATTGTATTTTGTTCGTAATTCAATTCGATTAATTTGCAATTTTCAAAACTCCAAAAACCTTATTTGTATTTTAAAAAAAAAACTTAAAATTGAATTTGACTGAAAATATATTTCTGTGAATCGACCTAGGTTTGATTCTATACTACAAAATCTTTAAAAAACTTAGTTATTTTGATAGCGACTTAGCATCGTCTATCAAACCGTTATTCTATAATTCTTCTTATTTTCTACATGATCGTTGTCCCATCGTATCCTTGGTTTCGACATTATTATTTGAAGGGATAAAAATTAACATTAATAAATAAAAGAAAGAAAATAAATGTTATATTTTTATATTTTTAATCCTCCTTTACTTTATTATTAATTTAAAAGTGATATTATTTAATCCTCCTCATCTTCAGCCAAAGATTTCTCATCCCAATTAATTTGTAGTTCGGTTTAAAATTAATCGTTTGCACTAAAACAAATTTTCAATCCAAAAAATTTCAACAATGAACCCATTTTTTTTTTTCAAAAATTAAATTGGTTCCAACTTTTAATAAACCCATGAACCACATGCTATTATGTGACTTCCAAAATGTCAAAAATTCAAAATCAGCCCATTATGTAACTTCCTTTTACATGTGAGCTAAGCAAAATTATCTGCTATTCTATTCTGAATGATGCTTTCCAATCAAATCTCGTACATGTACCTCTGAAAAGTTTATCTAACATCTCATCTTTTGCATTATTATAATAGAATGCTAAACTTTAGTTGAATCATTAAAATAAATAAATTGATTGTAATGATTTTGCTCAAAGAATTGGCTCTTATTCTTTCGGAGCGACACTATTTTTGGTGAGCTGCTTAGCTTTGGGTGATTTGTGACGAGGAAGGTGGTGGGTCCAAAGATGATGACACTTTGAGTTCTTGTTTTCTCAACTAAACAATGTTCTTGTACACTTATGTTTTCCTCTTTTTACCTCTTTTTTTTCTCTATACTATGACTATTTCTTTTTCTCTTCTTTTGTTTGTGTTATACATTATATAACTATATTAAGAAATTAGTTGTGAATGGGACATTTGAACTCTATGTTTAAGCATTGATTTTTAAATGGATCTGTGCATCATTTGTCAGCATGCTTAATGTGAGAGATAAACTTACTTGATGGTCCAAAATGTGGTGATACTGTTTAGTTTTTGTTTTTCTTCAATTTTCTTCTTTCTTTCAATATCTTGTTCCTCTAATGCTCCTAATATTATTTTTTTCCTTAATGTTTTCTCTTCTTCCTGTTCTATGCTTTTGGTTTTTTCCATCCCCCATAGTTTGGTTTACTTCTTTCTATTTTATTTTGTTTTTAGGACCTCTCACAAGAGGCCAAATTTTTTTTATCTGCCTTCCATTTTTTGTATAAAGTATTTACTTGTTTCTGGCTTTAATTTTTTGCAATGTTTAATTTCCATTTTTGGGAGCCAAACTTGACTTCCTTCTAGCTTGCTTCTTTTTGCTAAGACCAGTTCGTATTTTTTAAAAAAAGAATAATTTATTATCATTCTCTTCTTTACAAGACAAAATCAATTTGAACTAATCATTTTCTGGTATACAACAAAAACAAAATAAAATTTATTATTCTCACTTAATAATGAAATTTTGATCTGAAAATTCTGTTTCTTTCTATTACTTTGGATGGATTTTCATTCAAATTTTAATTTTTAGTAAGACTTACAAAAGTACAGAAAGTGAAAAAAATAAGACTAAAGGTAACCGATTTAAAATCTCATCCGTTCATTAATAAATAACTATATCTAAGGTGAAGTTTTGTTTTTTGGTCCATTAGTTGAAGGGTTAATTACCCGTTGGCAAGTTGGCAAGAAGGGGAAAAAATGGTCGTTTAACTGTACATTTCACTAGAGAAGCACAAATTGCAATTGGTCCAATATGGTGTTTATTTCACTGAAAAGGACAAAGTTATTAAGATTTTGAGAGCATAGGACCGTATAAATGGTTTAAACTTAAATAGTTTCTTTATTTAAAATGCTTTAAGCAATTTTGGAGTAAAACTATTTTGCTTATGTAATGTTTGTTTTGTTCTTCGTATCTCAACAAAAATAAATTCTTTGTTCTAATTTCAAAACAAACCACGCTCGGTGGTATAATTTACTTTTCTTCATAATTGTATTTCATTAAATAGGATGCATGAAAGGTGCACACTGCTGCAATGGTTCCCCAAAATTCTAAAAGAAAATCCTGCTTTTTTTTTTTTCTTAACAATTTTTAAATGAGTTAACTTCTTAATCCGGTGAAAAGTACATTTTAAACGAACGTGCATCCAGATATCTAACCCACTCACAAATAAGTGATTGGCAATAAAGAGATACATAAATTAGCAAAAAAAAAAAAAAAAGAGATACATAAATAATTGGAACAACAAATTTTTAACTTTGGATATAGTGAAACAAATATTAAAATAAATTAAAATATACTACTTTTAAGAATTAAAAGGTTAATTTTTCAAGTTGTTTATGTTTTGCACTGTAATTTAAAATTTGAATTTAATTTTAATATAATATCATCAAAAAAAATTTGATATTATTAAACAATTAAAAATACTGTAAATATAAATTTCAAAGAATTATTATAAAAGAATTATTTTTAATAAATAATAATTCATAGGTAAATAATAATATTTTAAAAATTATACTGTTAATATATTTAAATTAAATTTTTATATATTTTTATTGATTAAAATATTTTTATCAGTAACGTGTGAATTCGAATTGCTAGCACATCAATGGTACATATACCTCGCACCACATTTAAGAGATAATTAAATATAGCCATTTTCGAGCCCCGCACACAATTTCAATTAACTATTAATCCTAGAATATTCAAGGAAGTGTTCATAGTGAATTTTATCGAGTAAATAAATAAATTTAAGAATAATTTAGGATTGAATTTTATAATTTTTTTATTAGATTTTTTATAGTATTTTTAATGTAATTGTTTAATAACATTGTAACAAGAGAAAAATAAAAATAAAATAGGGTAGAAGGAGAATTCCTAAAAAAAAATTAGGGTAAGGTAATGTAAACTTTGAATAAAGTTAATTGTATTACAAAAATAAATTGCAAAAATATAAACATGAACATGTAATTTTTAATGACAATCAATATAGAAACTATTAATCTCTTTTTTTGGATTAGCACTCATGATTTAAATTATAACTCCTAAATAATAAAATAAAATTCTATTTATAAGTATAGTTTAAATTAACTATCTAAAACATGTTATTCTAAAAACATAATTGCTTAAAACACGTTTTTGTAATCGCTCTTGCATGTCATTTACAATTTTTGTCATGTGTCTTGATATGCAACTGATCTTAACCACACCAATGCATTTAGAATTTTGACATTAATTCACCATTTTTTTTACAAGTCTTTGTTATTTGAACTTAAACCATTTTATACTTAAAATATTTCATCTTTCTTTTGAAGTAAATTAGTTTTCGACAAGTTTTTTCTCAAAACATTCTTTCGACAACTCTTTATAAAAATGTCAAAATACCTCTTTCAACAAATCTCCTCAAAATGTTACTCTTTCCGCTTAAGACTAGGTTCCTATGACTATCTCTATGAGAACTTGCCGAAAAAATATTTTTTTCGGCTAAAATCTAATGTTTTTCTGATTCTCCTATATTTAACAAAAACTTGTAAAAAGCATATTTTTATGATCACGCCATTTTTTAGTTGAAAACATGCACTTTAATTTATACAAAAATAACAATATTTGTAGAAGTATTGAACATTCTCCTTACATTTTTCAAACAAAATAGGTAAAAAAATGTCTTAACCATATAAAAGCAGCGCCATTATAATTTATTTATTTTTTCCAAACAGGATGATAAACTAATATGAAGAACGGAAGCACAATTTATTCATCAAGATAATTGTTATTACATTATTAACAAAATGAATTTACAAAACATGATTTTCCTTGGGACAAGCTTGCAATAACGTTGCCACCAGTTGCTCCTCAGAAATGCCAGCATTGCACATGTTAGCAAAGGCTCTTGAGTATTTCCTCCCATAGCTTGACAAGGCACCGCAATGGCTCTCGTAAGTTTTTATCTAGTGAATAGTGCAAAAATGTTTATCATCCATCATCATATTATACAAATATTAAAGAGTGAACACATATATATGTATGGCAATTGATAAATTAAGTGTCTACGAAATTTTAGGTCACATGTGTATCTAAGAAATTATTTCGATAATATTACTTACAAGGGTCTTGAAGCAATCCCAATCATCGACAAGAGGTTGGCCTGGTGGACGAACATGGAGCATCACCGTTGTGCTTTTCTCTTTTCCAAACAAGAGATCCCCTATGAGATGGACAGCATTATCTACATGATCCCTATGAGCAATTTCATCTTCAAACTCTTTTTGAGCTTTTAACTTCTCCGACGAACCACCCGAAGCCCTTTTCACCTGAAATTAAAAAGAAACAATCACTTCTCTTCTTATATGTGTACTTAAAGATGTTCAACCAAGAATTACCTTGTGGCTGAGGTAGAGTAAATGGGCATCATGTTGGTTGACAACTCTTGTTTGAGTGGATGGTTCAAAAGAATATGAATTTGCATAGTTGGTCTGGTGGTATTCATCACCAACACTAGCAGGGCGTGCACCACCAAAGTAGGTATCTAGAAAATCATTTTTCAACTTTTTATCTCCATATTGCATCACATGAGAACTCATATTCATATAACCAAGTAACGTTCTCCGACGAACCTATAATCATTGAGAATATTAATTTATATTCCATCAACATCATTAAATGAGAAACAGATATAGAGTTGAAATGATGGCTTACAGCTTCATATTGTTTCTGCAAAGTTTCTTTTGTCAGGTCATTCTCGTCACTGCTCCGTAAGCAAATTCAAACAACCAAAGTAATTGATACATGAATAATGGATAAATATTTACACATACAAATCTCGTACTATTTTTATTTAAATATTTAATTTCTAATTACAATTAAAATATACAGAGGCCTGTGACACTTGCTGTTATAAGCTGTTGCAAAGGTGTAGAAATTCAGCATACTACATTAAACAAATCATATACACGAGGACTTATTCCACAAGCATAACGTATTGTAAAGAATGCGCATTTAAAAGTAATAGTAAAAGCAATATCTTTTTACTAATTAAAGAACTAAAAAACCGTAAAAATGAGTATACTAATGATGAATATTTAAATATTGCATGCATACCTGTCTTCTAACCATGAAATGCTATACGTATCTCCCAAACAAGTAGTGTACTCAGGCGGTGCAGAAGGGTAGAAATCAGGACAGTAAAATGCATAACTACTCTCATTTGCATTGGAAGCTGTGGTTACGTATATGTTTATGTTATTCGGAAGAAGCCCTTCGAACATGCTCCCAGATTCACATGCTTCCAAGTATATAACCTTATTTTTCGCAGAATGAATTAACAATCCATCAATTCAAACCTTATTCAATTGGATCTTACAATGATTTTTATTATAGATAATATTTTTAACATCTCATGCATATTTTTCGTCATTATCAATAGCATAAACACTATTTTAGTACGCTTTAAACTCTAGCTATGCATATCCATTCTTATTCATAAACACTATTTTAAATAAGTTAATCTATTGAATTTGAGATTATGGTGACTAATTTTACTTATTATTATTATTATTATAGTGGTAACTGGTTATTAAATAACAGGCTTTAAATATTCAAATATTACTAAATAAATGTTTATTCAAATATCTATAAAAAAAATATTATAGTGGTAACTGATTATCAAATAACACGTCATAAATATTCAAATATTACTAAATAAATGTTTAGTCAAATATCTAGAAAAGATTATAATTTACCTATTAAGAAGCACTAAATATACCGTATTAAATATTTTAAAATACTGTAAAAATTATGTAGCGAATGCTTTTTAAAATTTTAAGTTAATAAATATATTTTAATGATTTAAATTATTATAGAAATACGGATTAAAATTTATTCATAATTTTAATAAAAAATACTGTTAATTTTTAACGCGTGCTTTCAAATTCAAATTAGAGAAACATTTCGTTAAATACTAATATATAATTGTAAAATTAAGTATCTGAGTATAGTATTTTGAACTCAGTAACGTTTGGCGTTTATGAGTGAGCTAGTTAATTCTGCCTTGGAAATATAGATATAACATGCTCAACATTCAAATAAGAAAAACTTATCCTCAAAAACATGGAAACTCACCATCTTTTTATAGGATTTAGTGGAATGTTTCTTCTTCAACGCATGTACAAAATCTTTGGCCGTGATATAATCCTCATCTGGCATGCCTGGTCAAATAGTATTTAAAAATAAAATATTATACATACAGATAAGAATATATTGAAGAGAAAATCTTAATTATACAATTAAAATTCATTAAAATAATTTATAATGAACAAAGATAAACTCTCTCACGTCTCTTGTTCTTATATAAATAATTTTCATATTTATGTGAGTGTTTATACAAAAAATTTATCCTCAACACGGAAAATTCAGAAGGTAGTGAGTAACTGACCGATCAAACCTGGACTTCCATGATCTGTGTAATAAATGAAAATGATGTCATTTGGACCAGTTTTGAGCACTTTGCCACTACCTCCGGAGAGAGCACTTCGGTTACCACTAAGTACAGCGAAGAAGTTTGCTACACTTGCGGCTCCTCCGGTATAATCCTATCATAGGGAGTTGATGTGATGCCTTTTATCATAAATATTATTTATTATAAGCTATAACAGTTATTGCTTCTTCATTTTATGGTAATATCAGTGTTAATAAAATATTTATTAAACAAATAATAAATAAATTATGATAAAGTTATATTGAATATTAAAAGAGAATAGTCAGTAAATTGTTTCTATAAATATTTCTAATTTTTAATTTCTTAACTAATATTATTTTATCAATATTCTAATTTACCATATATTACCAATATAAATTCATAATATTTACAAAAAGTAAGATTAGGATTGAAAAGCAAAAATTTAAAGATTTTTTAATTTTTGTAAAATTTGATATTTGGGTGGTTAATTTTGAATAGAAGACAATTTAATTGTAAAAATTTTGAGTAAGAACTAAAACTGAAGAATTTTAGGTAAAAAGAAATAGACCGATGAGGAACTTAATTTAGTAAAAAAAAACAAAAGTTGCAGAAAACTAAATTAGAGGAACAAAGATATAATTAAGGGAAATAAAAGTGGTAGATACCTTGGGAACTCCCTTATAGACATTTGGACCCTTTGGTTTATTGATTATAACTCCGGGCCTTGGGTTTTCTGGATTTGAGGCGATGTCATCATACATGAAAACAATGATGTTTTCATCTTTAAGGCCACCATTTTTTAGTAACTGATAGGCATGACAAACATCAGCTTGGTGCCTATAGTTTTCATAATCCTTAGAACCAGCAACAAGTAAGGCCCATCTCTTTCCCTGTGAGTATTGATTGGGCACAAGACGCACACCTTCCAACACACTCATTGTCAAACTCATCCACACTGTGGCTATCACTGTGACCCAACACTTGATTTTCAGATTCATCTTGTCTGCAAATTTTTTGAGAAAGAAAGAGCTGTTTTCAGTACTCACAATAGAACAAGTTATGCCTATATTAGTCAGGAGGGATGTAGTTCTACTACCAATTCAACATGTATATATATAATTGAGTTAGTAAAAGTCACATAAGAATCCATCCATTGTATTAATTGAAATGTTAGAGCATTTATTAAGAAAATTACTTATTATATTAAAAACATTGAGTATATGTTTGTATGAGACAATAATTATTACCATTATTGTATTATTAAAACAAGACAATAATTATTTTATTTTATATTTTCATTTATTAAAATTATTTAACAGTGTTTTTCAATTAATACTCCTCAATGAATATTATTTTTTAGATATGTGTTAGCAAAATTTCTAGATAAAATATTGTTATCTGAATATTTATGAATTTAAATAAGAAGACCATCAACTTATTCCTTTAAAATAAAAGTATCACTAAATAAGTTTTCTAAAGATTTTTAGCCATCTAATTGATCCTTTAAGAATATAAATCATTCTCATATTATTTTTCAAAAAAAATTGTCATTAAATTAGTCTTTTTATCATCACTTTAGTCTTTCATTAGGATTTATTTGCTAAAATTTTAGATAGTTTTTCTCAAAAATTAAATTTATCATCAAGTTAAACTATTTATTTCACTACTTTAATTTTAAAAAAAAAAACCTATTATGATATCAGTTTAGATCTTTGTAGGACTAATTCAATTGCAAATTGAATTTTTAAAGGACTATTTTAGTAACAAAATTTTTTGAGAATTAATGTTGTAAAAAAATTAAATCTTTGAAAGATTTATTTTAGTAGCTTAAATATTTGAATGACTTAACATTATAGTTTTTTTCAATTCAAATAGATGTGTCAGTTATGTCTTTCTAAAAAATTGCTTCTATCTAAAAATCTATTTAAAATAAGGAAAATATTAATCAATATTAGAAACTGATTCAAATATTAATTTCTAAAAAAATATTATTAATATATTTTTTAGTTTTGAATTGAGATACGTTAAAAATCATAGGCAAAGCAACATTAATTACATTTTTATTAATTTTTTATTTTAAATTTTAACATTGTTTATTATTTCTTTTCAATTAATTTGTCTTTCTCGTTTTGACTTTTTTTTTTATCACTTTCATTAATTTCTTCCCTCACCCTTTAAAATAAGTATATTTATTTAACAAAATACACATACTTTAAGAAATAGCACCGACACTACATTTATTTATGTCAATTCACAATTCATTTATATTATATCAGGGTGTTCAGTTTAGTTCGAATTTAGAAAATAATAATAATTTGAATCCATCAGAATAGATTAATTTGCTTTGATTTGGATTTGTGAAAAAGAATTTGAAAATCCAAACTAAATACGAATGGGTTGATTTGGTTTGTATCATTAGATTATCCGATTAAATAACTTAAAATAAAAAAAATATAAAAACTAAAAAATATTAATTTTTTTATTTGAATAATTCTTAACACATAATTTCAACGTAATTATATAACATTCTAACACAAATTCAAAATAAGTTTCAATTCAAAACACACTTTATTGCATGTGAAAGTTTTTTTTTTAAAAAAAAAAAAAGAGTCAACGCAAGTCAACAGGTTAATTGAGTATGTCATTGAGTCTGCAGGTTGACTTGTGCCAACTTGTTATCTAAACCAAACCACGTCAGGTTTGATCGGTTTGGATCGGATCAAACCCGTTAAGTATCGATTTGCATCGTTTTCTAGTTTGGATTGGTTTGGATCATCGAGTTTGTTGGTTTATTCAATCCAATGGACACCCCTATATTATATAACATTTATTAATGAATTTGGTTGACTGAAGATAAGCAGTTAATAATAGTAAAACTTTAAGAGAAATAAAAATATTTATTGTATTTTTATAACTTTAATACAATAACAATGTATTTTTTTTTATAAAAGTTTTCTATGTGTGGATGCTTAAATTTAACCCTAAGGGGTTAAGGTTAACATAACTCTTAATTAATTAGGAGCATAGATAATATTGACTAAAATTTAATCCAAATTTTCTTCCACCATGGAAGGAACTAGATCATTTAGTTTATTTTTATTTAAGCAAATTTTAAAAAGATGACAAAAAATTTAAGTAAATTTTAAATTGACTTGAAAGAATCTTAACTCTTCAATTTGCTTAAGTTATGTTTGGGAGTTGTGTTTAAAAAGGGAGAGGAAGGGAGAGAGGAGGGGAGGGAAAGGAAGGGGAAAGGAGGGGTTAGGAAGAATTAATTACTATTTGAGTGTTGCTTAATTAAGAAGAGAAGGTTTTCCTAAATCCTCTAAAACCCTTCTAACCCTTGTTTCTTGAGTTACCCATTTTGGGAGTTTTCTCTCTCTCACTTTCTAGTACTCTTTCATAAATAGGATTCTAACTTTTATTTTTTTTCAAAAGAATGTTAATTTTTCAAGTGATGATTTTTTAGAAATATTTATAAAAAATAAAAATATTAATTTGAAAAATATTAATTTTTAGAGAGAAAAAATATTTTTTTTTGTAAAAATAAAAAATATAAATAAAAGATATAAAATATAATATTATTTATATAATTAAACCTCATATTACTCTTCCCTCTTAATATCAAATATCCAAGGGAGACGTTTAACTTCCTTCCCCTTCCTTTTCCCTCCTTTTCCCTTCAAATCTTTTTTTTCTCTCCCCCCTCCAAACTACTAAACAAAATCTTATATTCCTCCCTTTTACTTATGTGAAAATGGTGATGAATTATATACAAAATTTGTTTAAGTGAATTTTGTGTAATATATATATATATATTTTTTATTTAAATAAATTTATTTTTCTTTAAGTAAAAATGAAATTAAATGTCAAATTCCTACTACGATCAAAGAGAATTGATATCCTTAAAAATTTATTTAAAATAAAGTAAATGAACATCCATATTAGATATTGTTTAAAAAATTAGTCAATACTTTTATATAAAAAATATTATTAATATAGTTTTATTTTTAATTTTTAATTAGAATGCATTAAAAATTATAAGCAAAGATACGTTAATAGTGATTCTCTCACTACCATTAAAGAAGTGAGTTGTGTACATTAATAATTAGTTGTGTATATTGCCAAAACTTCTACATTAAGAAGTTAAAGAATCGTGTTTATTTAAGTAAAGATATTTTAAAATCTCACTTCCATTAATTTCTCCTCCCTCCCCCCTTTCTGTTGTGCAATTGAGTTGTGTATATTGCCAAAACTTCTACATTAAGAAGTTAAAGAATCGTGTTTATTTAAGTAAAGATATTTTTTAAAAAAATATGAGAATTAACAGAAGCAAAATATACATACTTTAAGAATAACACCAACAATACATTTACTTTTAATTATCTTGTGGATAAAATGATTCTCAATTTTGGATAGGAAGTGAAAGTGTGATACAGAGGTGTAGTTTAGGAGAAGAGGAGGAAATCTATATATATATTATATATATAAAAGATTAAAGGGCTGACTGAGGTGTAATTTAGAATTTGTGGGAAGAGATAATAAAGAAAACAAAGATAATATGAGAAATTAGTTTACTGTTTGATGGTTTAACATAATTAAAAAGAAAAATATCTAGTTGGACTTATTTTATGCACTTGGTAGAAAGGTCATAAGAATTTTAAGGTTTCGTAAATGAATATTCTAAAAGTTACATATGAAAATGCTTAAATTGCATTATATTCTCTCTTCTTTTAAAACATATATATATTTTTTATCAATGAACTTAAAATTATAGATTAAGCTAAAATAACTTGTACAGGTGACGGTTGCGTATAATAAAAGGTTCAAGAAGGAAGAACAGTACACACAAGAAATTAGAACTTGTCAAAGTAAGTAATATGCGTTTATTCCCATTTGAATTAGGAGCACAACAGATTCATTTATTTACTTCTCTTTCTTGAAATATCCCCTAAATATATTACATTTCAATGAATGAAGTTGTACTTTAATCCTTTTCGATAAACGAATCTCTTGACAAAGGTAAACAATTATATGTTTGTGTCTATCAATGATCTTTTATATTTTCTAAAAGTTTTAATGTCACCAATATCAACATACTACTTTTAATTCTTTAACCAATATCTTCTTAAGTGCACTAAATGACAACACCTTGAAACTTTATTCCATCAAACAGTGAACTAATTTAATATATTATCTTTGTTTTATTTGTTTTACTTGCATTTTATTTTTATGAATCTTACTAATCAATGCTCTAAGAACGCAAACATTAATTAATAAATTAAAATTAATTTTTTATTGTAAATAATGCTTAGTTTTTAACTAAAACTTTCCACTTTTAATTTTTTAACACTACTTAGTATTTTCTTTAATTAACTTATCTCCCATTTTTTTAATCCATTAATTTCTCCCTTCCTCTTCGAAACAAGTACATTCTTTTAATTAAAGGTTCATCATTGGTGCAATTGAGTTGTCAATGTTGGCCAAACACTCATGTTAAGAAAAAGGATTATTATTAGTAGTACATATTAAGTACTATATTTATTAATATATTATATTTATAATAATTATAATTTATTACTTTTAACATCCTTATTTTTACCATAGTAATTAACTAACAACGTAGTAGGTACTTCAACATTTTTTTTAGAAAGATGGGATCAAAACTAGTAAGTGATGTTTTTGACAAAGTTATTAGGTATATTTTTAATAAATTTTTTGTAATTTTCAATTTTAAAAATATGTAGTTTCAAACATTATTCATTAATTTATAGAAATTAAAAGTCCTAAAAAGCCAAAAAATAACATTTTTAAACTAAAAAAATGTTAAAATTTTGAAAATTTTTATTTTAACTAGGAAATAATATTTGGACTAAAAAAGTAATTTTTTACAACATTTAATATATTTTTAATTTTTTAATGAATTTATTCCTTTAATTTTAAATGTAAATAAAAAATTTTTGTTCAACTTTCTTAGCACAAAAATTGATGTCAAAAACTAAATTAAATTCCTGTCTATCTAATTTTTGTTTGAATTATGGAGCTCTCTGCATATTATTTCCTAATTTTAATATTATATTATTAAATTATTAGAGCTCTTCTCTTTTTCCACTGTTCCTTTTCAATTTTTCATTTAAAAACACTTCCAAAATATATTTTTCTTGGTGCAAAAAATTAAGTATTATTCTCTTATTTAAATCCTCTAACCGATTGAAATTTATATTTTTCCTTGTTCTTCAGCTGTAAATTTGAATTATGTATGACCAATTTTTAAAAAGGTTTTGATCTCAAATCAATGGCCTAATCCTTTATTCAAATGTATGCTTGAAATATTTTAGTTTTGCATGGTGTACTGCTATCAAATTTTCCTATCTCAAAATCTGCCCTAATGTCCATAAAGATGAGAATTGGAAGTTTCTAATTAATTATATTACTATCTAGGAATTTTTATCCATGAGTACAACTGTAGAATAAAAAAAAATTTAGAAATTTTAGAAATTAGAATGTAAACTTTAGCTTAATTTATTGAATTTTTAAATTATTATAATAACAATGTGAATAATTTGATAAGGTACTGTGCTCAAGAAGTGGTAGAATATAAAATTTGAATTAGAGGATCGCTAATTCAACTATTTAAAAAAAAAATTACGTAAAGATAAGAGGAGATAAATTTGAATTTAAAAATATAGTAAAAGTGTATTAGAGAGAAGTCCCTGTATTCCATTTAAGCTATGTATATGCTTGTATGATATATTTGACATATAGTAGGAGTTTTATCTTATATTTTTTTATTAATTGATTTATACTTAAATATAGAATAAAGTATTGATATATTTTGATAGTGATTGAGAGTATCTATTTGAATGAGCATATAGTATGATATATCATACATGACCAAAAAGGAGAAAGAACGATAAAAAAGAAAATGAATTTTTAGGGGAGATAAATGTTTTATTTTATTAATGTTTTGAAAAAATATTACCACAATTTAGTATTTTTGAGAAAAAAAATTGGTTTTAGTATGTTATTATAATTCAATTTGAAGGGATTTTCCTATAAATTTTTAATTTATTATTATTATTATTATTATTATTATTATTATGTTTGAAAATTAATGCTTGAGTATTGAAGTTTCAAATATTTTTGTATATTAATTATCATTTTTAAAAACATATTAATTATATTATGACAAATATTTTTTTTTTAGATTATACAACTTTTTGAAAAGGATTTAGTAAAATTAAAATATATTATTTAAGTATATAGTTTTTAATACAACAAATATTTTAGAAACAAATTGAATGAAATATTTTGATAAAGGAAAATAGTGAAATGTAGAGTACAAGAGGAAATTAGATTTTTGTTGAAATTAAAAGTGTTTGGAAACTTTCTGATTATTTATTTGTTAATTTATGTAAGTATTCATCATATCGATATCAATATAAATTTTGCTAAAAATTATTATTTAATGTTTATATTTTTATATTTATATTGAAATAAACTTATTATAATTAAATTATAATTATTAAAATTCATAAAATTTAAGTAAAAAATTTGATCATAATTGATTAAATTTAATTTCTACAAACTATTTGATTGTCATTTAATTTTAAAAACAAAAAATATATTATCTGTTGCTTATATTTAAAAATAATCTATTAGAATTAATAGTATATAAAAACTTTATATTGATGACCATGGAATTATAACAATGAAAAAAAATTATTGATCATAAATTGTATTTAATAAAATTTATTAATTTTAATTGTATATAAAAATGAAAAACCTAATTATAGAATATTAATATTAAAAAATATATCAATTATCTTATTTTTTATTTAAATAATTTAATTAATTATTTCATATCTTGTGTAATAAAATTTTGTATTAAAATATAAAATATATTTGAAGAAAAAATAACTAGAAATAAATATTGAGACACTAATCATAATAAGAATAAAAGATAAACTAATAAAAATAATTTCATTTTTCACTTATATAAATAATTTTTATACAAGTTTATCAATTTTTTCTATTATTTTACTTTATTTTTATATTTCACAATTATAAATCATGCAAATAAGTAAATATATATATTTTTTAAACTGTTAATTTTTAGTAAAAATACTGTTGTATGTTTTTCTTTTTTTCTAAGATAAATATATTATCCAATGAAAATCAATATATATATATATATATATATATATTCCTATTAAGGAGATATTAATCTTTAGAATATCCTCTAACTGTGAGATAAGGTGACGTTCTCCTTGATACTGTGAATCTTTCTTTGTCTGGCATAAGGAGGTGTACTTCGATGATAAAGTCAGATATTGATTTAGGTAATAAATGTTATTTAATGTTCAAAAGTCTCCATTAACCTGTATCTCTTACCTTCCTTTTTATAAGCAATATTATGAGCTATTAGGCTTTGTAAATCAACCTTGATTTTGGCCCTATGATTAAGTAAATAATGATTTAATTATTTACCTTAATTGATTTAATCATTCTCTAATCTGATTGACAGGATACTCGTCCTACTGAGATTGAAGGAGTAATCGTGTGCTAAGGCTGTAAGAGTATTCAGATTCCTTCTTTTATTTTTAAGGTCGACTGGTATCCTATCCAATACAATATTTTGATAAATAGAATATTAATTTTAAATTTTTACTTTTATTGGTTAATTTATATAAATATTTATCATATCTATATATTGATATAAATTTGACTAAAAATTATTATTTAATGTTATATATTTTATATTATATTAAAATAAAGTTATTATTTATAAACTTAAATTATAACTTATTTAATTAATTATTAAAATTCATAAAATTATAAGTAAAATCTTTGATGATAATTGGTTGAATTCCATTTTTACAAACTATTTGATGGTAATATAAATTATATATTTTTTAACATGTAAAGTATTACACAAGATAAAAAATTTAATGTATAATAATTTTTATTAAAAATAATAATATTTAATAATATGAATGCATTTGTATTAAATTATTTTTTAATAAAAATATATCATATATAAATTATTATCATGTATAATATTGTATAAATTAGAATAATTAAAACATTGTCATCATAATTTTAATAAAAATTTTATTTATTAATTTTTTTATTATTAATAACCATCTTAAATACACTTTAACGTTTACATTTGATAAATAAATACATGAAATTGTCCATTATATAATTCATGTCAAATATTTTAAATAACTTAAAAATAAATATTACCTTTTTTTTATAATTTTAGTATGATAAACACTTTTAAAATTCTTATGATATGATTGACGTAAAAATTATAAATAAATAAAATATTTGGATATTTATACATTTTTTAAAATAAATTTTCAAAAAACTAAAATTATATTAACCTTTTAAAATAAAAAATATTTTATAATTATAACCAAAATCTAAATTTGAATTTTAATATAATTTAAAAATATAATTTAGTTTAAGTATTTTTAAAATTACTTTCTTTCATAATATTAGTTTCCTTATCGCTTGGGCAACTTTGAAGCATAATTATTATTTTATTATTTTTGTGCAAATTACAGTGCCAAAGTCACATGATTCGCTGACCAGTGCCTCTTTGCTTCGGATTCAAAAAAATTGGGTTCTTGTCTATAAAAAAAAACGGAAATCCCACCTCTCACAATCTACATGAAGCACGGACGGAACCCTTCCACTTAACAGACAGAACCCTTCCACTACTTGCCTTTGCTTTTAGCCTAAGAACAATAATATATACATACTGTTATTATTATTATTATTATTATTATTTAATTATCCTGAAGATTATTTATTAGAAGCAAGGAAAAGATGGAAATGAATCGGATTTATGAGGATTTGGCTAAGCATCATGTGATTCTTATTTCTTTTTTCCATGATATAAACGGTTCCATTCATATTCATCTTGTTTTTCAGGCTCAAACAAGTGTTTAATTCACCTTGTACCCTCTTCACAAAGTTAAATTTTTGAAAGTTCCAAGTCGGAGAAACCAACAAAATGGGGGGTTGAGGAATACCCACTACTTGTTTTTCTATGCCCGTGCCATTAGGAGTAGAATGAAGGGCCATTTTGAGTTTTTCTACAAGTTCATCTCGATGTGCTCGAAGAAAACTGGTTCAAAGATATTTTGATGTTCTGATTGAAGGTTGAAAAGATCATCAAAGATTGGATCTTTTTTGTACTTGAGGGAGGTTATTGGGAACTGAAAGAGTTATGAGTTGGTAGTGTTCTTTTGCAAAGATCTGAGTGAATGGAACCTCCTACGGGGTTTTGTGCTTCCTTGTGTAGCTTCATACGCTTTCTTCCTTTCTTCATTGGGCTTCTGCTTCTAGGCACCATCAAAGGTGAATCACAATTGCTCTGTTCTGTGTTCTTTTTTTATTTTGTTTTTTGGATTGAGTTTCTTGCTATGCTTTAGTTGGGAATTTGCAAGGTGAAGTTAAACACAACTTAGGTATGTGTGTAGTTTGTTATGATTGTAAACCTTGCTTACCATTGCTCAAACTTCCAATCACTTCAGGTGTCCTGTTTTGCCCTTTGATATGCATGATAATGACAATTGGAAACTCTGCCATCATACTCGGACTTTGGACAGCACACGTTGTTTGGACATATTACTGCGTTGTGAGGTGCTTTCCTTGACTGCTACTCTTTCAAGTTTTTGGTTACTGTTGTCTCCAATTATTATGAACTTGTAATTATCTCATAGTGATTTCCCTAACTGACAGAGCTAAACAATTAGGGCCTATTCTGAAGCTTGTTATCTGCACATGTGTACTACCAGTGCTGTTGATTTCATCGCCGCTAGTTGGTATTGTTGGAAGTATTGTTGGTGGAGCTGCCTATGGATTTCTTTCACCAATATTTGCCACTTTTGAAGCTGTAGAGGAAGGAAAAGATGAAAATTTTTTCCACTGTTTTATTGTATGTTTCATTTTTGTTGTTAAAATGTTTGTTATTTCCGTTTTGCTGTTATTAACTACAAATTTTTCTTACTAACTCCTCAGGATGGTACCTGGAGCACTGTTGAAAAGAGCTGCATGGTTGTCAGGGATGTAAAAGATGTTTGTTTTCATTCTTACTTCTCAGTTATGGATGACCTGCGACAAAAAGGACCTCCTAATGCAAAATACTATGAGATCAGGTAATATGTATGTTTTTGTTGTCGTGTCTCTACAGTGACAGTGAGCATTGGTGCAACGGTAAGGTTGTTGTCTTGTGACTTGGAGGTCACGGGTTCAAATCATAAAAAATTCTCTATATTTGCAGGAGGTAAGACCGCGTATATCTACCATTATTTGACCATACTCAGATGCAGCCTTGTGCACTGGGTTGTCCTTATGTCCTTAGAGCATTTCTTGGAATTTATTGTGTTTGTTCCTGATCTTAATTTTATGCTGTTAAAGATGGTTTTTATGGGTCACTTAATCTTAGTAATGATGCCAATCATGTCTATCTGGAGCTAATCATGGCTATTTACATTTTTCTGATTCAGGCTCCATTTTCTTCCTCATTCATGAAGGGAGATTGTGTTTGTTGGTCATTCTTTACACTGTCCAGCTTTTCAAATTTTAAATATTTGTTATGCAAACAATATGATATCAACTTGAATATTAGTTGTTACTTTGATAGTAAAGGAGTTGTGAATTGTGAGTATTAAATTGAAACCAATTAAAATATATATTTGCTCAACTATGAGAAGAAAGAATGGCTTTGCAAACTATCTGTTTGACTTCCTGCATGTTGCTATCTTTTGAAAAATCTAACTCTTGAAATCACATAGGGTCTCAGCTCTTTTATATATCTCACTTACTAAACTGTGTTGGTCTTGGTCAGGTTATTTTAATCTGATATCATTTGCACGACAAACTAATGGTAAATATTGGCGATGACATTGGTATTGGATAAAATCTTAAAGAATCACAATTCTTTTCATGGGATATCTTCTGATTATGGTGACATTTTAAGTAAAAGTACTGAAGTACATAAACATTAATTAGCAAAATGATTCTCTCAATTAATTGTTCTGACAAAGTTTGCTTTTCTTTCTTGGTTCAACCAATATAGTGAACTGGGTGACACTGATTACTTAACTATGTTTTTTTTATGCTTTTGGGTGTGTTTGGGTAAACAACTTCGGTAAGTTAATATGCTCTTATCACATGAGAGCTTATGGCAAAGATTGAATCATGAATTTTGTTGTATCTTTAGTGTATGATAGATCAAACATGAGAGTATTCAACTGTACTTTGAAAGAAAAATAAGTGATCTAAATGATTGGTTTTATAGGGAACTTAAAAGCATGAATGATGTGACTGTGTAAAGGAATATAAAAAGTTATAGTATGCCTAATATGATGTTGTTGGACACAGTAGAGGACCTATGCTAAATGATATATTTGAAATTTTATTTTATTTTTAACATTTAAATGCAGGTTGCTTTATCTTCCTGGTGCTTTTATAGCTGCAGTTATTGGAATCATTGTTGATGTGCCAATCATATCATTTGTTGCCCTATGCAAAGGCCCTTACATGCTTTTTAAGGGGTGGCACCGATTGTTTCATGACCTTGTTGGCCGTGAAGGCCCTTTCTTGGAGACAATATGTGTACCTTTTGCTGGTCTTGCTATCCTTCTGTGGCCATTGGCTGTTGCTGGGGCAGTTTTGGCATCCATGTTAGCAAGTTTCTTTCTTGGTACCTATGCAGGGGTTGTTGCTTATCAGGTCAATTTTCATATCTTTTCATTTTCTAGCCGTACTACTATTGTTATCATAGCCATTGGATTAAACAATTACAAATATATAAAACAGTTTATTGGTAGGCTTACTCTTGACTTCCCTATGCTTTTTTGGACTGATTGATATTGAAAAGGTCAATGCTAAATTGTGGAAGCAACACTGGGAATTAGGATAAAATATCCTAAATAGATTTCAACATTTACTGTTGGTTGACACATCACAACATCCAATTCACTGTTCATATTATGCAATACACCATGTATAGAGTAGTATTTGGATCATCATGAAATGGTGAAGGCCTATGGTTAGGACTTGGTGTTCAACTCTGCCCCAAGCCGTGTGAACCTTGAGCAGTTGAGGTTCAACCATACATTTTTGACAAATATGATCATAAATTGTATATTATAGATTGATCTTGAAAATGGTATTTCAAATATAGTCCAAGTAATAAAATTTAGTATTGTCATTTCTGCTTGGTTAGTGGAATCTGTAACACATCCAACTATGTGATGAAAAGCACCAAAATTTAATATCCAGGGTCCAACAGACGATGAATGAGACAGGCAAATTGTAGAGTTACTAGATTGAGCAGTGACAGAGGAAGATTGTTGTGCTGCTATCTTCAGCTGGAGGTACTCCTTATACTTCATATTTGATAGAATATTCTAGTTGCCTCTACCAAGGTCAGTTTGCTTTTCCACAGTGGAGACTGAGAATACGTCACATTGGCTGATTTCTCGGGAAACCCAATCAAGGAATAACACTTATCTTGGGTGTGACCCATACTTTTACAATAAGAGCATTGTAGATGATTTCCAAAACTACGACCTCCTCTTCCACCACCTCGACCACGACTTCGACCTCCACGGCTGAGCACATTAGAGAGGAATGTAGAAGACTCCAAACCTGGTTGGGAACTATTTCTTATCATAGTTTCTGGAGAGGGAACACGCAGTAGACGATCAATGAGATTCTCTGCTGTAGGTACATTGGAATTTGTCAAAATTTGGTTTCAAACAGATTAAAAATCTTTGTAAAGGCCATGAAGGATGAACACCATGCACATGTTATCAATCTTGTCTAAGATTTTTTGAAGGTCATCACCTGTCAAGACCAATTTAACTTCATCAATAGTGGATTGTGCTCTATTCAAATATGATGGGAGATCGTGATCTATCGTTTTAAGTGCAGCTAAATTATGTACAACATCGTAGAGACGCTGAACATCATTTGAATAGACACTACGAGCTTTCTTCCATATATCATAACATGTCTTATATGTACGAAAATGGACTAACAACTTCAGAACAATGGATTGCCATAGAAGTGAAACTAACTGATAATCAGCCTTCTTCCACGGTTCTTGTTTAGTGGGATTAATGTCATTTGCTGTCTTTGTCAAATGCTCGGAGAGACCTTGACCCAAAAACCATATTTCCACCACAGCTTCCCAATTCATATAATTTTTTCCATTAAGTTTATCTGAAGTTATTGATGGATTTCCAAAGAAGACAAATGATACATGATTTTTGTTTTAAGGGTCCAGTGCTATCAGGGATAGCAGTCGACTTAGGAGGTGACTCTGTTGGGTCTGAAGCCATGACTGAAATGGGTGTGAGACGGAATAGACTAAACAAAGCTCACCAACCTGGAAAAGGACACCCAGAAGAGACAGAGGGTGTGCCAACAAGGTGAACAGTACCAGCGGCAGGACAAACAGAGTCGTGTAGGGCGGCGCGTGGCTTTCACGCGCCGATAACCTTGTTCTATGGTAAGCGCACGTGGCAGTGTGTGGGATGCCAGGAGACGATGGCGATCGATGGGACAACCAATCAGAGATTTCTGCGGCTAGTGCTGAAGTCACAGGCCAAATGGTGGCCGGACGTTGGGACAACTAAGGTTGGCGGTACTATGTTTTTGTTTTATTAGACTCACAAAATGTGAGCTCTGATACCAACTTGAGACAGAAAAATAGTTAGGGTAAAATCTTAGTCTCTCATTGTCATTCAGCGGTACTTATAATTATAAATCTATACAAACTAAATCCCTTGATTATAGGGATTGACTAAGTAATTACAGCTGAATCCTAATTACATTGTTTATATAATCAATCAGATTTCTATATAAAAGGAAAGAAGATAACTATATTAATAATGGAATTACAATTCTCAACAATTATAGATTGGACTTGAAAATGGTGTTTCAAATATTGTCCAAGTAATAAAATTTAGTATTGTCATTTCTGCTTGGTTAGTGGAAACCCTAGCAGAACTTAACTTTTATTCTGTCCACTGATCAGAGGTTGATGCATGTTACTAGCAGCTTCAGGCTGTATGTTGCTTGATGTGCATGATCTCTGAAAAGACAACAATCTTGTAAACAATGTAATTGATTTATAAAACATAGAAAAAGGAAAAGTGAAAGGGAAATATAAAAGAACTGAATTATGTGTATTTGAAGAATTAGCCAAAGATCAGCATTATTACTAGGGAGAAGATGCAGATCGACCGTGGCATAAGAGATGTGTGGAGTATAGGAGTAGAACACTTCACTTGGTGTATCTTGTAAGGGGCAAAAGTGTTGTCCTTCCCAACCATCTATAAATGCTTGGAAATGGAAAATCACAAAGAAAGAGTTGATCAATACACACCTTAATGGTGAATGACCATGAAAAGAGTTGAGAGAAGGGGGTTCAAGGTCAATATTGGTCAACAGCTATTTCACTAGTCAGCAAAATGACCTTTAGGGGGAATAGGTGCTCTATTTTTGGGGTCTGCATGGATTTGAGAAATAGTCACCATTGTTTTAAAGAAGTAAAACGGGGTTGTAATGACTTTAATGTTTCCCACAAACAAATGATCTAGTGTCACTTTTATAGGCCCAAGGATGATGAACAATGAGTGGTTGGTAAGGAGTTTGAGGTTGAGTGTGAGGGGTTGATGTACTTGCAAAGGCACTTTAACACTCAATTCAGTGAATGCAAGTAACAATTCAGGAATAAATCATCTACCTGGTGTAGTATTGATTATATAGAGCTCATGCAGGTGATACTCAACTAAGGTACTATAGTTATCCTATGAGGTACCATTCAGCATGGCTTAACCACATATGGATCAGTTATGGTCCCCTGCACAAGTGTGATGAAGCATTGAGTGTACAAGCATATATGTTTTAGAGTTGTGTAGTCTAATTAGTTTCATATTTATTCTTAAGTGACTTTCCCTTTACTATTACATATATGTGATATGTGTGACAACTTGTAAACTGTGTTAGTAATAGCATCCTTCGTTTAGAGGAAGTACTGAGAGCAATGGCATTATAAGAGAAGATGAAGATTGAGAAGTTTGATGGCAAAGATTTTGAAATTTGTAAGATGCAAATAGAGAATTATTTATACTAAAAGAAGTTGTATCAACCCTTGACAAGAAAGTAGCCATATAAGATGGAGTAGGCAGATTGAGAATGATTAGATTGACAAACCCTTGATGTGATCAAATTAACATTGATCAGGAATGTTTTGTTTAACACAGTTACTGAAAAGACTATGGTAGAACTGATGAGGGCATTATGAAAAAGGTACAAGCTATCAACAGCCGATAAAGTGCATCTGGTATGTTGGTTGTTCATCCTCAAGATGGGAAAAGGTAATTGTGATTGATCATATTAATGAATTTAATATGATTCTTCTCCATTTAGTGTCAACACAGATCACTTTTGATGATGAGGTGAAGGGGAAGATTCTATTATCATACTTGTGAGATGGTTTGGCTGCAATTGTTATTGTTGTCAAGAATTTTTTTAGGGACAATAAGCTAAAGTTTCATAACATCATAAGTCTTGATTTTGAGTGAGGATGTTTGCAAGAGAGAAGTCTGACTTGAAGTTCAATATTGAACATTTAAAGCAAGGGTTGGGATAATCTAGAAGATAAGGATATAGGGGTAAAATTGGAGTTAGAATCAAAGCCAACAACAATACCAAAACACCCACAACCCAAATGCTGAAGCATACTAGTCAATCCCAAATAGCGGCGTGGAGCGGCCAACTTCAAAAATGCTATAGTGGGGTGATCACTATTCTGAAGAGAATCAAAACAAAGAAAGAAAATAGATAAAGAGTGTTCAATCATCAAAGAAAGCTCTAACTTAAATGGTCTCACCAAAAAATGCCTCACTATTATTGGAAAAGTTTACATCTCGTCGGAAATAGCTTAGGATACACCGGATATGAAGAAGACAATTGAAAAATATCTTTACTCACGCTAGAAATAAGTTGGGTTTCGCCAAAAATATAGATGACTGGAACTTGGCCAAGAATGGTGATTTGCATCAGAAAATGATGCCGGAGATGGAGGATGAAGCAAGAGAACATAGATGGGAGGTAGGGTTCCAACTTATAGAAATATAAAAGGGGGACAAAATCCCAAGTTGCCCCCTTAAAAGCATTCCAACTTTCAAAAATTGAGGGCAAACTTGTTCTTTTGCCCCTATTTGCATAAAAAGGGGCCAAAATTCCAAGATTGCCCCGTTAAAAAACATTCCAACCTTTAGAAAGGAGGGCAAACTTGCCCTTTTCTGTGATTTGCCGCAATTTGCATTACAACGACCTCTACACTGAAATGCGACGGTGATGGAATAGCAGCACCCAGCCGCTTTGCTTTGCACCTCCACAATAGCGGCCGCTATTGACTACTATGTGCTGAAGTGTCAATATTTTGGTGAAGTCATGCTGAGGAATGACTCTATTAAGTGGAAGCTAGCAATGATAGATGGGATGAGATCTCTTCAAAAGAATGAAATTTGGTCTTTGGGCAAGTTGCTAAAAGGGAAAAGACAAGTAAGACAGACAAGTTTATCGATTTAAAGAATAATTTGATGACAACAAAAGATTCAAAGACTTGAAATAAAATAATTTTAGTAGAAATATGGAATTGACTTCACTAAGATCTCCTTTATAGTCATGATGATTACTATTAGAGTTATCTTGAGTGTTGTAATTGCATTTTTACATGGGAATTTGAAAGAAGACATTTGTATGACACATCGTTATTCATGAAGGTTTTGAAGTTTAGGTAAGGAACACAAGTTTCACTAAAGTTTGTACTACTAGAAATAAGCACCAAGATAATGATATAAAAGTTTTACGCGTTTATGAGCTACTCTGAATTTATCGGAGGTGACATGAATTATTATTGTTATGTTAAAAATTTTGTTGACAATTATAATATAATTTTTTTATATGTTAATGACATGTTAATAGCTGGATATAACATGATTGAAATCAGCAAGCTGAAGTAGTAGTAGACAAATTTTTTGAAATGAAGGACCGTAGATCGACTAAACAAATACTTGATATGAGGATTTTCAGAAATAGATCTGAGCGAATTCTAAAGTTGTCCCAAGTGAAATATACATTGACAAGTTTAATGTCAGAGAAGCCAAGACTAGGAATAACCCTTAGGGAACTCACTTAAAATTTTTCAGAAATAATTTTCAAAAACTGATGAAGAAGATAGTCACATGTCTAGAGTTTCATATGTATCAATAGTAGAGACTAGGGAGCTTGATGTATGCTGTGGTGTGTAATCTCTACTTGATATATAGCACATGTAATGAGAGTTGTTAACACATTCTTATCAAATTCCATAAAGGAGCATTAGAAAGGCATGGAGTCAATATTGAAATATTTGAAGGGTACTTCAAGAAAATGTCTATGCTTCAGAAGAAATGATCTTATTTTACAAGAATTTTCTAATGCAAATTTGGGGGATGATTTGGACAGTAGAAAGAGCACCCAATGTTATATTTTTACCTTGGGTGGTATTGTTGTGAGTTGGAAGTTTAAACTTTTAAGTAGAGTTACTCTCAATTGCTAAAGTCAAATATATAGTCATCTCAAAAAGAAGTAAGGATATCATATGACTGTCATGGTTACTTAATTGAGGCTTTGCATTGCCTCAGTTTACAATGAATTGTTGCAATTGAAAATCAAACTCTAAATGTGAGAATTGTTAGACTTGTGTAATCTGATTAATCCCACATATAATATTCTTGATGGACTTTCCTTTTACTATTTCTATATATGTGTGACGACTTGTAAACCTTTTGTGCATCAATTAAATATATTCTCCTAATGCAACTGCAGATGTAAGTGCATACATCGTGTACTGAACCATGTCAAATCCTTATGCCATTTCTCTCTCTCTCTCTCTCTCTCTCTCTCTCTTAAGTGGGCCTTTGGACCTAGAATCTGACCGAATTGAAGCCCTTGGCAGTCCACTAATGTTGCCTTTTGGTTTTGGGAACAAATACCTATCTCCTGCTAGTCTTTTGTAGCCTTTGTCAATTCCTATGCAGGTATGCAGTGACATTTCCTTTGGATTCTACTGGAGTACTTCCTGAAGTCCTAAGGATGGATACCATTTTGGTGCTAGTGGATCAACTTAGGAAGGACACTTAATTTCTTACTCACTTGCCATCAATTTACTGCTAGAGAGATTGCCGAGTTCTTTTATTAAAGTCAAAAGGCTCCATGGATTTCCAAGCACGATAGGTTTCGAAAGAGATTACATTTATATTTATCGATTTTAGAACAGTGAGGAAGCAATCTAAAACTCAGCTCTGCCTATTAATGGATGTACAATTGGACATACAGAAGTTGTAAATGTTCCGGAGATGCTTGACAGGTTCTAAATCTAATGAGTGGCCTCACTTGGGTTGAATTTAGTATAATTCGAACTGCCTCATTTTCTCTAGATGTCTTTATTGCCTTATACTGAAGAGACCCTCGTGTATTGCTTCACTGTACCGGAGATTTATCAGTAGTAGAACTTAATCAGTGTTAGATGAACTCAAAGCTTATTTGGTGCTGGCTCATAACAAAATGAAGCAGTATAGTGGTATGAGTAGAAGGGATGTGAGTTATGTTCGCGGTGAGTCTAGCTGAAGGTCAACTTATATGAAGTCAGGTCTTTGGCTAAGAAGGTCAATGAGAAGCTAGATCCATGATTTTACGGGCCTTTTGAGGTATTGGGGAAGATAGGAAGGTTGCTTACAGGCTTAAACTTCTTGACTGCAAATATGCAATCATATTCATTTGATCATCCAAAGTTAGTAGTTGCAACTGTCAGCAGCCAACAATTACTACCTGCACTTTCAGAAGACTTGGAACTAAAAGTACAACTTGCTGTGGTGCTGCAACGGAGAACAGGATATGATGGTAAATGGGAGGTGCTTAATAAGTGCAAGGTCTATCAGACTATAGGACAGTTTCTTGGAATTTCAACTTCAGGACGTGGTGGAAGTGCTGGCATGGAATATTTTTAGACACTAATTGCTCGAGTATAGCTCTAGGAAGAAGTATGAGAGCATGGACAGGCAGAGTGGGAACAGATATTATCAATTTGTAGTAACATAATGTTGAGTGGGGAGGAAGAGGGAGAGAAGTCATGGGAGTTTGTTATGGGTGAGTGGACTGAATGTAGTGAGAACTGAGAAGGCTAAGAGTAGGCAAGCATTTATTAACTATTAAGTGATTTGGGTGGTATGGAAATTGCATCTCCTTGATATATCAGTCTTTACCTCTTTCTGATTATAATATCCTTTTGTTCTGATCTTCTATTGTTTTGACCTATAATGGTAGAACAAGATCCCCAGTGTGAAAATTTGAATACAATAAAATATGTTTCCCATCCTCACCTAAGGAGTAGTTTCCTAACTGTCTCACTTAGGTTAGATGAACTGAACTATGTTTATTTGTTCTTTGAAATGCAGGAGTCTTATTTCTTGTCGGGCCTTTGGTATGCTATCGCAGCTTTGGCCATTTATGATGAATACAGCAATGATATTCTTGACATGCCAGAAGGAACGTGCTTCCCTAGGTTTTGTTCTGCTCCCATTTATTTATCACTGTGATTTTCAGTTAATGCATTTATCTTAAGTTTTTACATATGCAATATTTGATAGGCCTCAATATCGTAAAAAGGTTGATTCATCACAAAGAACTTCTCATTCAAGTTCCATCTCAACACCCAGCTCCTTCCGAAAGGCTCCTTCTCGCACGTCTTCAATGAAAAATAACATTGCTGAGTTGAAATCATTTGAGGTATTCTTCATAGTATTTTGTTTCCAATGATGCATGACACAAAGTATCACAGTAGTCCTTCAGTGCACATGTTTTGCAGCTCAAGGATCTGTATTAAATGAATATTGTTCATGACTTGTGTAGCTGTTGGATGGCTTATTCAAGGAATGTTTCCGCGTAGGAGAAAAAATGGTTTCTGAAGGTCTAATTACAGGAAATGACATAGAAGAAGCCAAGTCTGGTAAAGGGAGTAGAGTTATTAGTATTGGTCTACCAGCATATTGCCTACTCCAGGGACTCTTGCGTTCTGCAAAAGTCAACTCCATGGGTATAGTGATTAGTAAGTGGAAGCCTTGCAGCAGTTATAGTTGTCCTTTCCTTCGCCCTTTCTTTCTCTATATTTATAATTTTATTTTTTCTGTTCTATCTCTTTTCCATGCCCTTTTAAGATTATTTTCTTTTAACCATTTTAAAGAAACAATTTTGGTCGCTTCCCCACTGCAGGCGATGATACTGAACTAACCACCACAAACAGACCAAGGGAGAAATTTTTTGAATGGTTCCTTAATCCCCTTTTGATCATTAAAGATCAAATCAAAGCCGAAAATCTTTCTGACTCGGAAGAGGACTACCTCTGCAAATTAGTTCTCTTGAGTGGTGACACACACAGATTGAAAAATTCAAACATTGGCCCGGCCCCTGAATCTGAGCTCAAACGTGCAGAACTCGATGCATTGGCTAGAAGGTAATTAATGGACCAAAATATGGTTAGTCTGTGTTTGGGTGAGCATTTAAAAACTTGATGATTTTGGTTAAAAGTTGAGTTTGAAATGAAGTGATTTATATTTTAAAATGTCAATCTAAAAAATAAGTTGGCGGGGAGAAGTTACATATTTTCACTTGAAGTGAAACGTGCTTTTAGGAGCTAATTTATCTTTTGATTATCCACTTTTGTTTTCATTTTTGACATAGACTGCAAGGGATCACCAAATCCATGTCGAGGTTCCCAACCTTCAAGCGTCGCTTTGATGATCTTGTAAAATCACTATCCTATGATCTTGCTGAGAAGAGTGGAGTCCCAACAATGACCAGATCAAAGAGTGCCTTTGCTCGGTTGGTTACTTTAAAATCTTTCAAAGGGACTGGAACCAATGGGTCTAGTCAGGGATCAGAACATTTATGAGATGAAGAAAATTTTTCACAAAAATACCCTATTATATATATACTATTAACCTCCCCTCACCCAAAAAAGTAAAATGTTACAGGTGTATTCCACAGTTTCATTTTGGACAGAAAATTACGTCCCTGATGATAGTTCTAATATCTGACCTTGTCTACTCTACATGTACACAATTCTGATACACAAATGAACAGGAACATAAGCATATTTGAGCAAAATGCTGCCACATGCAACTCTCGGCTGTTGTAGACTCGCCTAGCGTTGTCATCATGTCTTCTTAGATCCCCGGGTGCATTGAGAAATGTATCTAGAATGAACTGTTACTTTTAGCATAAGAGTAACACCAGTAGTAATATATTCTTTTTAATACACTCTTCAATATACTTTGTTGTTCTTAAAAAATTGATTAATTTATATTATATTATATTTGTTGTCATGATCCATGATTTATGTTATTTAATATTGATGCTTATATTTTTAATTTTAATTGTCTGAAATTTTCTTTTTATATCGAGATTTTTTTTATCTAAAATATCGCCTGTATTTTTGAATTAATTCTTTTTATTTTTAAATTTAATCTTTTCTATTAAATATAAGCTATTAATTGAATTAATTATTTATATTTTTATTATTTTAAATTTTTATTTTAAACTTTTAAATTAAATATACATATATAATATATAAATTATTTACTGTTTGTATAAATCAAAACAAAATGATGAAAATGACATTTCATTCTATTTTAGTTATTGTAAATTGCCTGAAAAATATTGTAGAGAATAAAATATGATTGAATAAAATGTTACTTATTCTCTCACTGACTGATTTAGAAAGTGGTTGAAAAAAAATCTCAAAACCCTTAAATTTGCGATTCGTTTTTATCTTAAATCAATCGAACAACCAATTTTTTTCAAAACTAGCGATTGATTACCAAGCCGGTTCACTAGTTCTTTGGTGGTATCAACAGGTTCAATCCCAATTTTATAACTACGAATACTAACCTATTGTTTTGCAATAATTAGGAAGCTTTTTATTTTTAATTATTTCATTTATCGAAGAATATCGAAAGTTTTGGAGGAGACAGAAAATTTAAAATTAATTGGATAAAATTATATTTAACTTTATCAATTTATTTAGTTCTCTTAAATTAAATTGTGTCTAAGATATTATCCTGAGCATATCATTCTCTTGGCAAGAAATATTCTCCAATTACAGTGTTGTCTATTGTACCTTCAATATGAAATACGATTTTGAAATCCCTTTATTTCATATTTGACCTATTATTAGTGTGATTGCGTTATAACTAAAGTATCTTTTTATTGGCTTGGAGATTAAAACGAAATGTTAATATGCTAGTGGGAAGTTATTGTTCCAATCTAGCAATTCTGGTTGTGAATATTAACAGTAGATAAGAATTAACGTGAATGACATTTGCATAATTTAGAAACTAAAATGATATGTTATCAAATAACCTCAATGGCAAGCTACTATCAAATCTGAACTAAATGCTCTCAACAAAAATCAAACACGGAACATGACGCAATTACCACTTGGAAATAAGGTTATTGATTGTAAATGAATTTTTAAAACAAAATTCCATGCAAATAGAAGAGAATAAAGACATAATAAATCTAGGTTAGTAACTAAAGATTACACTCAAATTAACAACGGGCCTAGTAGTTCAAATGACTACTGTTAGGCTTCTTTTAACTTTAGCAGCAGCTCATAATTTGGCATATACATCAACTAGATGAAACCTTCACCTGGTCTAATCCTATCTGATCCTTCTTAAGTTTGCAAATTGCAAAAATTTCTATATGGGCTTAAACAGGCCTAGGCAACGGAAAACTAAGTTGACTAAACCCTTAATTAATCTTAATTTTGTTCAATTCAAATTTGATTACTCTTTATTTACTAAATCAATGAGCAACCAATTCAGTGCAATATTTATTTATGTTGATGATTTAGCAGTTGCTGGAAATGATCTTACAGAAATCCAACATATCAAATAAAGACTAGATGAACTCTTTAGTATTAAGGATCTTGGTCCTTTATAATATTTTCTCAGTTTTGAAATTGTTAGGTCATCTCAAGGAATACATTTCTCTGATCCATGACCTTACAGAAGATTTATTGGCGAACTCCTTTACCTTACTCATTCCAGGCCTGATATCTCTTTTGCAGTTCACCACTTGAGTCAATTCTTAAATGTTCCTACTAATGAACATCATCAAGCTTGTTTCAGAATTCTTTAGGTACATAAAAGGATCTCTTGCCAAGGGTATCTTCTTTCTTTTTCAATCTTATTTCAAGATCAAAGGCTACTATGACTCTGACCCAAAAAATTGTTTTGATAGTCGTAAATTCATCACAAATTTTTGCTTCTTCATTGATCTCTCTCTCATCTCTTGGAAGAGTAAAAAGCAACCAACCATATCTAGATCCTCTTCAGAACCTAAATATAGGGCTCTTGCTCTAACCACTTGTAAAGCCCAATAGCTCATTTTATCTCCTTAAAGATTTCAATATTCTGAACTCTATTCCTATTACTCTACACTTTGATAACAAATCTACCCTTTATATTGCTGCAAATCCTTTGTTTCAAGAACACCTAGAAATATATTGTCAAATTGTCAAGGACAACTTTTAAGATGATACTTTACATCTGATGCCTATTTCTTCTAATCTTGAAATTGTTATTTTAACGAAACTCTTAAATTCCTGATCCTTTCAATATAAATATTTCTAAGCTTATAATGTTAAATTCAGATTCCAATTTAAGGGGTGTTTTCTTTAACTTAACTGACCATTAAATATAAATTAAATGAAATATTCAAATTGAATTTAAGAAACTTTTTAGACTTACATTTGGTGTGAGAACATTTTGTCCCATATATATTTATGTATATATCTTTTCTATCTTAAATTAGCAGTTACATGAATTTAATAATCACTTTTATAATTATTCTTTAATACGATGTTAAATTATAAATTTATTATTAGTTGAATTATCTTAAAAGCATATTTAAGCATTAGTCTGAACATACTAGAATTTGTGTACATTTTAAGGTATCTCTAAACCCGTAATGCCTAAACTACCCCGATCCTGAAGTGCGAGAACCTCGTTCTATAAACTCAACCATAAACAAACAAGTACAGTATGAATAATTATGGTTCAAGAAATGATTTGCGTCGAGGAATCAAGTAGTGTTAAAGAAGCTAAAAGCTCATTATAAAATTATCAAAACCTCTTTATTTTATGACTTTTAAATTTAAATAGGGTCTAAATATGTATATGATAAATATAAGTATCAGATGTGTTAAGAGCATGTAAGCCATGTAAAAGCAATAAAAAAAATTATGATGAAAAAACATATACTAGAATTACTAATAAAAAAAATTAAGATGAAAAAATAAATTAATACTTCAAAAAAAATAAAAGAGTAAAATAAATAAATAAATTATTTCGTTTGCACAAATAACAAAAATAGGCTAACCGTAATTTTTTTAGAGTGGAATAACCAGCTACGACGATTGGAATTACTACAGTTCAACAACTAAAAATGGAAACTTTAAAAAATCGCCACTAATTTTTTTTTTTATTTTGAGAAAAATTATATAAACTTAGAAAATTGGTCTACATATAAAAATCAAATTGACGGTTTAACTATATACAGAAAAAGATAATAATTTAAAATTCTAACAGTTCAAGTTATACTTTATATATCTATGTGGTTATCTTAAATTAATTGTAAAAAATAAACAATCTTAAAATATTTACAATCCTTTTACAAATAAAAACTAAAATCTATAAATAAAATAATGGAGAATTAACGTTGACTTAACTAGTCAAAACTAGCTCCTTTGGGTCAATTCAAAGTCTGGCAGTTATCTCTACAAATTAATTTTAAGAAATGCAATTTTTGTTCATTCATTTTTCAAATTTTGTGTGCTTTTGTAGCATTTATTTTAAAATTTCTTTATCACATAACACTATTTGGAAGCAAAATATCCTGATTAAAAATGCTTTATGCATAATTTTGTTTTATAGATTATTATTATTTTTTTCTAAAATTGATGGTGAAGGCTAGAGTGAGTTAGCAAAGTAAGTGACTCAGAAAAATTAGCAAAATGATATATTATAACAGGTTTTAAAAATTTGAAATATTTAAAATTTTATCCTTACTAAATTTTGCAAATAAAAGATATCAATCTCTTAGATATTTAAAATAGGTCATTATTTAACATAAATATTTTTAAGGTTAAAAAAAATATAATTATTTATTCACGTGAAACCATATCATATTCTCTCATACTCACTCCTATATTTGTTTTTAAAAAATTTCATGAATTTGTTTTGTGATTCTAATGTAAAGTTCAACAATAAATTGAGTGGCTACGATTGAAATTTATTTCATAAAAGTTTGAAACGAGAGATCCAAGACAAGAGATCTAATGAAATCAGGTAATCCTCTTTTGAAATATTATTGCATAAGCTTTGTTTAATTTTTCTTTCTTCCATTTCAATTCCTTCTTATTTCCCCTCCTTAATAGTATGCAAACTCATTTCTCACATTTACTCTAAACCTTAAACCTACATAACCACTCTCCCTTTATATTATTATACTTTCAAATGTAAGGATTTTCTATTTGAAAACATCATATACTCATCCCAATTATCTTAAAAATTATCATTTTGGTTTGACCATAATAGGGATAATGACTAAAGAGATTTTGTTGAACCAGAAAAATGCAGGGAATTTACTTCATTGTAATTTTTGCTTAAGATAGAGTTATCTGCTTAAACTAAATTTAGATAGAGATGAATCTAAATTTTTTATCAAATTCTCTTAAGTTAACACCCATTCTCTTAAGTTAATCAAAGATAATGACAAATCTAAAATTTTCATCAAAATTAGCTTAAGCCACAACTTATGTGCTTAAGCGAATCAAAGACATATATGAATCTAACACATATTTGTTTAAGCGTATGTGTTATGGCTTAAGCTAGTCTAAGATGAAGATTAATCTAAAATTCTCGTCACAATTTGCTTAAGCGTATAGTTTAGCTAAAGTGAATTACAGCTCAATTAAATTGATATCTCATTAAAAATATTATTATTTTTCTATACATACACTTAAATTCATGATCAGTAAAAAAAATAGTAATCAAATATACTGAGCAAGTACAAAGTTGCAAACATTTTATAAGGTATAATAACATTTTATATTGTCGGCTTTTGAGGTAAAGATATTGTTTAATTGAATTTAACTTTAATTGCCATACATATCCTAGATCATGTTAATTTCTAAAAGGTTAATCATCTTATTTATATAGGGTAAGCATGATTTGGACTTTGCAAAAAATGTTTAGAACTTTGATAATATATAGATAAATACATGGAGAACAATATGAGCAATGTAGCGGGAGGTAACTCAT